TACCACAACATTTGTGGGTTGGCACACAAGAGACTATGGCATAGCAAGTCATAGACTTGGTATTAGGGATGGGAACTTGTGGGCTGACAGTAGGTTTCACAAGAGTCGTAGTCCATGTGGCAAAGGCGTGACCATGACACTTACTCAGAGGCTTACGCCCCCAATTAGTCACTCAGACGCAGAGTGTGGGAAAGAACGCCTCGAGTAGCATAGATGGGGTGGCAGATGTCGAGTGAAATGCTTGAACCAGGGCGATAGCAGACGGAGTCTAGGAGGCAAGAAACAGACTCTGATAAGACACAGAGAAGGAGGACTGCATAACAATATGACAGATTCGGATCAACTTTCCCAGCAAAAGGGTGAAGGGGGTGTGTCAGTACACCAGCGTGAAGTGTGGAGGGTTCTCATGACTGCCGCTCAAAAGGGTACACGACACTACATCTTAATAAACACGGTAAAAATTGTAACAGTGACGGTGTGATAGGAGGATATAGGAAATGTGAATAAGCCAGGGCAGAAGGGATTCCACAACTGTTTAGCACACGTTTGGTCAAAGGATGGGCTTCACTTGTCTCTTTGAGGAGTTGTTGTATGTTGCTAAGACTGGCGATACTTACTGACGATGCCGACTACGATGCCTGAGAAACGTCTGGGAATGTACCACGTCCACGTTCCGACTCTGGAAATGATCATGCATACAATGGACTGCGGAATAGGTGCGTTCCTCTAAGTCTTCCTACCAATATGACCGAGTTGCGAAAACAAGATCAAACAACTTCTATACGACTGCGACCACGGAAAAGGCCACACCATCTTGGTCTTCATATCTTCAATTACATTACTTATTTTTCGTTTATAGGTAGAGTTTTGAGACTCGTGACTATGTGGCGTAGTGCTGAACGTGTCAAGATGATACATTATATTGTCCTGGTTCAAGACCCTTTGGGGGTGTTGATAAGACCTAGACGAGTTTATACTGCAGTCAACTCCAACCGGGATGAGAACACTCTTTGGGAAAGCGAGGCTATGTGAAATTCAATGGAAGCGTCAGCTCAACTCACATAATAAAGGGAAAATTCAATTACTAGTTACTTATTACCTTAAATGAAATAGGGTAAATACATCTCATAGAATTTATTAATTTGGCCTTCAGGCTGGCGTAGTCAACAAGGCATCCTCCCTGGTTTAGGGTGAAAACTGGCTGAGCCTTCGTTCATCATATGATGGATATCATCATAGCTGTAAATCATTCCTGTAAGTGTCTCAAGTTAACACCAGGTACAGAACCATATCCGGCTCTTATAAATATTAATTACAAAAAAATGAATATGCCAAGGTATAGATAGATATAAAGTGGTTTACGAAAAGAAACTGAGTTTCGATTAATCTCCTAAGATAAACTTGTTCGAGAGACTATCGTTCGGTATAAAAGTGCATGAAGAAGAGATTCTTTGGTCGATCTCACCACAAGACGACGGATGAATCCCGTTTTACTACAGCCGTTTGGCCTTTATACGACGTTCAGGTCGACGCACTTCACGAGACCTCCTCCTTTGTTTCGGGTGAAAACGGGCTGAGCTTTCGTCCATCAAAGGATGGACATCATCAGAGCTGTGTCTCATCATATGATGGACAAAAGCTCAGCCCGTTTTCACCCGAAACAAAGGAGGTGGTCTCGTGGACTGCGTCGACCTGAACGTCGTATAAAGGCCAAACGGCTGTAGTAAAACGGGAGTCATCCGTCGTCTTGCGGTGAGATTGACCCAAGAATCTCTTCTTCGTGCACTTTCATACCGAACGATAGTCCCCGAACAAGGTTATCTTAGGAGATTGATTGAAACCCAGTTTCTCT